AAAGGGCCAGCAGCTGGAGAAGGCCTTCTTACTATGTCAAAACATGGTGGAAAGAGAATGCTGGAAGCACAGAGAGAGAGAGTACAAGAGAGATTCTTCCCTCTTGCAAACCCATTCTCATGATGCTGGCTTCTATTCATTCATGAGGTCCCACTTAAAGGACCCATTCTTAAAGGTCCCACTGCTTAATACTATTAAAACTATAACTAAATTTCATCATGAGTTTTGGAGGAGACAAACAGTTAAGCCATAACAATTTCTGGTGTATGGGGGCTGGGGTGAGAGGAAAGTACAGTATAGATGGTCAACATAATTGCCATCCCCATCCTGATTTTATTTTCTGCATGAGCTGATTTGTATTTGGAACTTTGTCATAATGTGATAGAATTCTGGAAGGTGTAACATTTAATGTTATCAGCAAAGACCTCTGCATCCGTCACTGTCTTGCTTGCTCTACTTAATGGCTTAGATGCTGATATTCTTCCATGTTTGGCTGCAGTCCTCATTTACTTGGTCTATAGTCTCCCAGCATGAAGTCTTCTACTTCTTTTGAGGTTTTGTAACAATGACTACTACCTCCCCTGCTCCACATCTGTATCTCCAGGATGAACAATTTCCTGAACCATTAAGGAGTTTTTGCAACTAATAGCAAAACACCTGCAGAAGAACCTAGGCCCCTCAAAGTCAATAGGTCCCAAAAAAGTTCTTTTCTTCTCAAACCAAACTCTTCCTCCTATCTATCTTCTTTCTTAATAAATTTCTTTATGAAACATCCACATGCTTAAAACAAGAGTCATAAGTTATCTCTAAATCTGTTCCTTTTTTCCTTTCCCAATTGCTCTAACCTACCCCATTCCATTTTGCTGAAAGTTTCCTTACCTCCAGTCTGTCCTCTTCTGGTCTAGCCTCTGCTTTTTCCATTTAGACCCTGTTCATGCCTCTTGACAGCTCTCCATTGCCAATTATCTAAACTCTGCAGTGTTATTACATAAAATGTTCAGAACATTTTATGGGTGCAACCTGTTACTCCCATCTCCATTTTCCCTATACACATTCAGCATTCTAGCTATAATGCAATCATGGTTCACTAATATGTTCCACATATCTCTCAGTCAGGCTCCCATTAGAAAACTGAAACCATGCTAGGTATTTCAACAGAGGAAATTTATTAAAGGAAATGGGTAGAAAAGTGTCTGAGGATCTAAAAATGAAAATAGGACATCTAAAGTAACTTTGAGACAGTAACTGCTCACACAGGCAGAGAATTTCACTCTGGGTTGAGGGATTACAGGAAGGAGGATGGGGTTTTCAAAAAGTAAAGGTTTGGACAAGAGACATCATAAACGTGGGTACTGCACCTCTGGGGAGGGATAATATCTGGCTGCTGCCTGTTCCTTTGAAATGCTGAGCAGAGGCCCGTTGAGACTGGGGCTCAAGCCTCTGGGAAAGGGTTGCTGTTAGGCTGGTCCCAGAATTTTCAAGAGTGAAATGAAACCATTTCTGAATATAACTGAGCACCGGAACCAAATGCTGCTGTGGTCATGAAGGGCCATTGCTGGGGCAGTACTTGTTAGGAAGAGCTATCAAATAGGATCAAGGAAATGTCCTCCTTCCTCCTTCCTTCTATGTTCCCTCTAATGCCCCTTATTGGTGGAATCCAGCAGACACCTATAGGGTGCTGGTTTCAACATCAGAAGGGTGGATTTACAATTCAGAGACTATTGATTAACACCCATTAAAGCACTTTGACATCTCCTTGCCTTTACTCATACAATATCCCCATCCATATGCTTTCTACCTGTATCCGCCTGATGTACATCTTTATTCAAATATATTTTTTATATAATCTTCCCTAATCTCTCCCAAAGCAATTATTTATACCATCATTGGAGTTCCCCTAGAAGTTTGCAAGCACTTCCTTTGAATTCTTTTTTTATCACATCATAATATCTCTGTTTATGTTTGTTTATTTTCCACCAAACAGTGAGCTCCTTTAGGGCAATTAGAATTACAACCATAAAATTTAGCAGGATGGATGGCACAAAATAGAGATTGGTTGAGCTGGATGGAACTGATAAAGGCATTTTAATGAAGCTAATATTAGGCCATTTCTTATATATATTTTATCCTCCCAACCAAGGTGATTTCCCTAAAAGCAGAGATCATGCTTTGTATTTCTTCTATTTTCTTCATGATATTTAGTACAGGTTTTAAATGCTGAGGAAGAGCTCAGTGATATTTAACCACTGATTTTATGTATTAACCAACACAATTTTGGTACAAAATGACATGAAGATGGAGCAGAGGGTTAAAAAATCCAGGTAAGAGATGTAGTTAGGTTTAAATGTGCTTCTAGTGTGTGATTTCAACATAGAAGCTGTGCGTACAGTAAAGCTCTGCGTGTATTGAACTTTAAGACGAACATTCAATCAAGAAATGAAATGTTTTATAGTGAATTCTAAAGTAATAAAATATATTCTATGTTTCATTTTATTTATTTATTTTTGGACTGGGAATGTAGTTCAGTAGTAAATTTCTTAACACTTGCCTAACAAGTGTGAGACCCTGGGTTTGATACCCAGTATCACAGGGGAGAAAAATTCTATTTATATGCTATAGAAAATATATTACCCAAATCTATGAGATGATTAATCCTGGGCTACATCTGTTCCTCCAATATTTATCAAATTTCTCCCAACCATCAAAATCAACTAGTAAATGTAGGGAAGGTATTGCATTTTGACTTAATCACCAGCTTCTCAAAAAAAGAGGAAAAAGTAAACCTCTGCTCAACAACTAATTTACATTCAATTCCAAGAAGAAGAAAAATTGCTTTTTTAAAAAAAGAGGAGTGATATTTAATTAACTATTGATTTGTTCTCAATTATTCAAGGCAAGCAATTATCGATATTGATGGAGCAGATATTTTCCTACATCAAGTACCCAAATGAAAGGAAGTATCCCATTCAGCAATCTGCTGCCCAAAACAAGAGCACTGAGAATCTTTAAAGGGAAACAGTTATTTGCATCTGTTTATTCCATGTTGCCCCAATTAAGTAGATAGTTCTTGAAGTGTAAGCAAAACAAAATCCTGAAACCCTATGTATGCTTTCCAGATTAACAACATCCAAAAACAACGATGACTTTTGTCAGTTTTGTCCATGAGGCTAACCACACCATACATGGAGACTTTGCTTCACAGCTACAGATCTTGACATTTATAACTACGATTCTTAAAATATTATAATTTGGGTCTAATATTTATTATTTCTAAGCCAGCCAATGAGAGGTAGCTTATATGGTCAAAAGAACCCATGGGTCACTGCTGGGTTTTTGTTGTTGTTGTTGTTGTTTTTTTGGTATCGTTCAAGAATTTAATAGCCTTTAACAGTCAGTCACTCTTGAAATTTACAAATAGTAAGTGTGGATACATTTGAAAGTTTTACCTATCATTATGCAACTGTCTTAGAGGTCACAAAGAAGCTGTTGAAGAAGGGAATCAAACAGGGTCCTATTGAGGGCACTTTGTTTTTAGCTCTGTGGTTACCCACTGCCACCTTTTGTCAGTTCATTTGCACACAGAACATTAGCATGTCTGTAAGAAGCTTCTTTTGAAGGTGACAGAACTATTGAACATGATTAATGGACAATGCGACATTCGCTATTGAGTTATTACTTAAAGGGTTGAGATTACCTTTAAAAACCAGTCTGCAAAAAAGAAAAAAAAAGAAAACCCAGTTTGCACTCAATAGCAACATTAGATCAGTGAGTGTGTGTATGTGTGTGTGTGTGTGTTCACACGCATGTGTGTATAGTTAACTCATGTGGCATCTCTGGGGAAATTTGACCATGACAGTTTGTTAAATGAAAAAAGAATGTTATAATTTACAAAAAGCTGCTTTTTCTGCTCTGCTCCCACCTGCCCCTCACCCCTCAGTCCAGAGTGGTCTATATGTTAAGTGCTTAAGCAGCATTTGTTGCTGGGAAGTGTTCTTGGCTCTTTTATTCGTTGTTGTTGTGTTAATTTCCCTGGGTTCTATTTAACATTCTGCTAAATCAATGAAACCTTGATTATCTAAAGGAATATGAGACATAGGATTAATGAGAATAACTAGAGCTTTCAAGATATAAGAAATTATTAGAGGTAAAGTTACATGACAAAGACTGTGAATGAATTTTAGTATCAAAAAGCTTGGCTGGTTTTATTCAAACTGATTCTATTAATTGATGGATGAAATGAAATTTTGGTAATCAGGGTTTCACCATTGCATTTATTACTATTCCCAGAAAACAAGGTAACCTTGGGCTCCACTTCCCATATTTACAAGGTGATAAAAATCATAATAGGCTGTCAGGGACAAAAGTGACTGCTCTTCCTCACACCCCTCCCATGAAACAAGCTTTCCCTCTTCCCATCTGGCTGCTGCTTGCCTGGAGCATGTACTTTCACTACATCCCCAACCCTCATCCCCATGCTTCCCCTGGGCTTTGTCTGCATGTGCAGCTGCTGGAATAAGAAGTGGGGAGAATGGCCCACTCCCCAGAGGTTCTTGGTCACTTTAGCAATACTGCTTTGCATTCTAAATACCACTCATCTGGCTTCAAAGCTGTGCATTCTTGTATCCAGCACTTGTCCTTTAAAAACCCAGGAGGTCACAACAGGTCCCAGTTCCATGAAGAGAAGATAACTGCCAAACCAGGAGTATTGTATTGTTTTGCATTCAAAAGCCTGAAATGGACAATGATAATATCCAAGATTGCAGCAAAAATCTATATGAAAAGGACTAATATGATAAAAACAAAGGCAGCAAACTACATTTGTTTGGAAAATTGGAGTCACATGCTTAGTTTGTGAAGGGGAGGGGGGAGCACAAGATCCATGGAGTTTTTTTTGTGTGTGTGTTTTCTTTTTAAAGCTGAAAACATGATGTACCAGATGAACTTAAATTGATTCTGCCTCTCTCCCCGCACCTCCCCCCACCCTCCCCCTCATTCTGCAGCGAATGTCTGCGACAACGAGCTCCTGCACTGCCAGAACGGGGGGACGTGCCACAACAACGTGCGCTGCCTGTGCCCGGCTGCATACACTGGCATCCTCTGCGAGAAGCTGCGGTGTGAAGAGGCGGGCAGCTGCGGCTCCGACTCCAGCCAGGGGGCGCCCCCGCAGGGTTCCCTAGCGCTGCTGCTGCTACTGCTGCTGACCACGCTGCTGGGAACAGCCAGCCCCCTGCTGTTCTAGATGTCGCATCCAGCCATCGGACAGGCCTGTGCCCTGGGGAAGCAAACACAACCCAAGCATTTGCTACTAACATAGGAAACATAAACACACCCCCCACTCAAAACACAGCGTACAAACTAAGAAGGCCTAACTGAACTAAGCCATATTTCTCAGACGTGGACAGCACATCGGAGTCAAGACTGTTAATTTCTGACTCCAGAGGAGTTGGCAGCTGTTGATATTATCACTGCAAATCACATCGCCAGCTGCAAAGCTTACTGCGGATTGGAAAGGCTGTGACAGCCCCCCCCCCCCCAAACAGGAAAGACAAAAAAAAAAAAAAAAAAAAAAATTTGCTACTCTAATGTGGTGCGCCCTCGTACCGCTCTGCCCGGTGTGTGGACCAACCAAATAGAAGCATTCTTTGCTGTCAGGTGCATTGTGGGTATAAGGAAATCTGTTACAAGCTGCCATATTGGCCTGCTTCAGTCCCTGAATCCCTTCCAACCTGTGCTTTAGTGAACGTTGCTCTGTAACCCTTGTTGGTTGAAAGATTTCTTTGTCTGATGTTAGTGACGCACATGTGTAACAGCCCCCTCCAGAAGCGCAAGCCAGTCATACCCCTGTATATCTTAGCAGCACTGAGTCACCCAGTGCGAGCTCATACCCACTACACAAGAGTGGCTATAGGAGAAAAGAAAGTGTATCTATCCTTTTGTATTCAAATGAAGTTATTTTTCTCGAAATACTGTAATATGTAGATTTTTTGTATTATTGCCGATTTGTGTTACCAGACAATCTGTTAATGTATCTGATTCGAATCAGCAAAGACTGACATTTTATTTTGTCCTCTTTCGTTCTGTTTTGTTTCATTGTGCAGAGATTTCTCTGTAAGGGCAACGAACGTGCTGGCATCAAAGAATATCCGTTTACATATATAACAAGTGTAATAAGATTCCACCAAAGGACATTCTAAATGTTTTCTTGTTGCTTTAACACTGGAAGATTTAAAGAATAAAAATTCCTGCATAAACAATTTCAGGAATTTGTATTGCGATTTCTTAAGATGAAAGGAACAGCCACCAAGCAGTTTCACACTCACTTTTACTGATATCTGTGTGGACTGAGCACATTCAACTGATGAATTTAGTACCCAGGAAGATGGATTGATGTTCACTAGCCTGGACAACTTCTACAAAACATGAGACTATTGCCACTTGGGAAAAAAATTATATCAGCAAAAAAAAAAAAAGTAAATAAATAAATAAATAGAAAAGAAAGAAAAATATCTAACTGATTGCCAAGATTATGCCAAAGCCTGTTGGCAGAGTACTGAGAGACTTTTATTTTTGAGTCATGCTATTTTCAGGTGGTGGTGATCATGTGACTCTAGGGATGCTGATCTATGTATCTTTCCAAATACAGTGTTTACATGGAGTATCATAAGAGGCCGCCTGGGGAACCAGGACAGTAGCAGGGAAATTGAGTGATTAGCAATTTGACTTTGAATATATTCAGACTAAGTATTTAAATGAAATATCAAAATATACAGCAGCAACTAGACATAACTGCTGTTTCTGAGAATAAAGTTTGCTTTAAGTACCACCCAAGGTGTAATAAATTCTTGTTTCTGCCTTTTATTAGGCCAATTACTGTGCAAGACAGCAAGTAGAGGCAGGTGGGAAAGAACCTCTGCAAAGGTTCGAAGAGGCTCAAACAGTGCGGATTCCATTCATGGCACACTGTTGTCCTGCGGGTTTCAGATGTGTTAGCAGCAGCACCTCCTGGAATCAAAAACAATTATCAGCCCTGAGTCTTGAGGACAATGAAGTCCTACATGACTTGGTAGAGCAATAACCTACGGCAGTGTTAGGTCCAGTCTCGATTCTTAACTCTGCTGCCACTCCTTGAGAAACAGGGAACGTTTTTCTGATAAATAACCTGAGTCAAAACTAGATGAAGGAACAGCATGTCTTATTGGTTTTGTTCCCAGAAAAGCCAATTCAAAAAAGGCAATAAAAGGTAAACAGGTAATGCCTGTCCTGCCTGCCACCCCATGTCTAAGTCGATTGAATGTTTGTTATTCAAACCAACAGTCTCTTTTGATAGAAGAAATAAGAAAAGATGGAAATAAATTAGAGCTTTGGCTTAGTGCCAGAGTGGCCAACCAGAAATTGGAGATTTACATTAGAAGCATAAACAGAAAATTATATTTCAGGCTCACCAAAGAATACACATGAAAATTCTGCTAGCATACAGAGTTTGAAATTACTTATAATAAGGTGGATTTCTAATATTAAAATTGGAATTTAAGTTGTCTTATACTTTATTAGCACAAACCAAAGGCAGACTGTGTTATTTCTGGCAATGATGCACTTTATCATTATCCACTGATGGCTTTGTCACAATGCTCAGGAATCAGACACTGCACAATTCAATATGTGGGATTCCAAAAGCTAATTCTAAAATTTAATGAAGGTCTGATCTAAATCAATTCATCTGCATTTATCTTTATGAGAGTATAAGAATCTAAATTGATGAGGAATATCTTGTGTTCAGTGTATTTAGATGTAGTTTTCTGAATATCCTGAAGTGATGTGATCTGCCTTTAATAAAAATTTCACTTTTAGGTATATAACAAATGGAAATGAAATGTTCTTTTTAATCTGGATTCTCACGTTCTTTTGAAAAGCCTATTCCTTTGAAGAAACCCCAACTTAGTGGATTTTACTTATCTGCTGCTTTCTAGCATCCTTTCAAATCTGTTTTCATCTACAGTTTTATGTCCCAAGAACAAGGTTGGGATAAAGAGAGGGTACTGAGTTTTCCCTCCATCTTAGATCCTAGTTCTTGCTCTGTTTCTACTTGGATAGGTACATAGTGGTGGGATAATATAGTTTTGCGTATGAGTTCTTCTGTTAACAGTTTCACACAGTGAAAATATGATTCTATCAATAGTACTGATGAATATAAAATTTCAAAAAAATGGGACAAAGGTTCAGCTATATAGAGAGTGTTGCTATTTATAGAAAAAATAATGAATCTTCCCTGCTGTGATATGGCAATGATTCATTTCAGACCCTGTACATGGCCGCAGGGAGAACCTAAGTTTGCTAAGTCCTGGCAAAGAGGGATCCTTGCTTAGAGGAGCCCAGGCTCACCTTCCTCTAGCTTTGTCCCGGTCACTTAGCCTACCCAGGTAGCCTCCATCCACTCTTTGGGCATGGTGAGCTTTCTCTGGAGGTCCACGCTCCTAAAAGTAGGCAGCATCATGATTGCACACCCTGGACATGAGGGGTGGCAAAAAGTCATTCAGTACCCAGGCCTGGAGTATTCCCTGAGGAATGCACATGTGACCGAGGAGAGACCCCCTTCAAGTGAAACGCAGAGCACCAAAACATGGGCCTGGAAGAGGCAGGGTTGAGGTGTGGAGGGGAGATATTGATCTTGGAGCAGTGTAAGGATTCTAAACCTATTTCTGGGCTTTCAACAGCAATGAAAACATATGTGTCAAAGTAGCCAAATTGGATATTTTATTCATAAGCACTCTGTTAGCTTAATGTGTAATTTCCAAATATTTAGGCACATGACAAGTGGGCCTCCATTAATACTTTGGCCCTGGGCTCTGTAAATGTTTGGGGTGGATCTGCCCAAGGTGTCCTCGAGTTGGGTCCCTAAAATGGCACCAGACATTGGCCCAGGTAATACAGAGAAGGGTACTGGCTGGAAGAAGGGCACTGACCACACCCGACTCTCCCTGCCATTTGTGCTCTGCCTCACCCTGTCTTGAATCTCTGAGTTTAAATACTTTCAGATGAACTAGGGGCAGCTTTGAGGAAATCCTGAAATTAAATCTTTTGTTCCTTCTCCTTCACTCTCCACCATCAATAACTCAGCAACATTGGGATGTGAAGACTTAGCATTCTGAAATGGGATGCTCTTTGCTATGTGGAAAATGGGTTGTTGTACTTTACTGTTGTTAATCACCAAATAAAATATCTATTTAACAGTTTCTCTGCTCACAGGATTGAGTAGGATATGTGTGGACTTCAAACTGTGTGTTTTCTATACATGTGTCATGTCTGGACTTCTATATGTGTTTATGATCCATATGATTTAAAGCTTCAGTTTCAGGAGTCTGAACTTGGATATCTTACCTGCCACTTTGACTCCAAGCATTTATTGATAAGGCTAATGACTAATGCACAGCTTGAAACAATAAGAACAACCAGGTGAAACTCTAGATTTGTTTTTTTTTAAAGGAAATCCAATTGAATGACCTTTATAATATATAGGAATAAAATATATAGAGATAAGAGATCAAAACCCTGGGGGTTTGATTCAAATGTCTAGTCATGAACAACTCAGTTTGCCTCAAGAAATAAGCAGTAGGTTCTAATCAATCTTGTTTCTAAGAAATATCAAATATCCATCTGATATAAATATTCTGACAGTTCTGACCATTTCTATAGAGAATGATTTCTTACTTTTAACTGTAGTTTTACTTTCTTACAATAAAATTATATTTTTCCTATAGTTACCTAAAACAGATGCCAACAAATTCCCCACATAAGCTAACATAAATATAATATGATGTCAGGAATGATTAGGAGTGACAATGTTCATATTTTGAATGGGAACATGGAGAACTTTTACTCTTCTCAACACCTGGAAAGGTGTGACTCACATTTTACCATATTCATTATGGATTTGAAGAATCAAATAAGAAGCAGACATATCTCTTGTATAAATCATATTATTGTACTTAACTAGAAATGAGAAAATAACATCTGTGAAAAACACTTGAATATTGAATAAAATGCAGTTATTTGAGATCTGTTGTGGAGAAAAATTCTTCCCCCCAGTACATTTTTAGAGTAGGTTCTAAAGAAAGTCTAGCAAGATGATTCAAATAATTTTCAGGGATGATGTTTTTCAATAGTTGAGCATTTAATAAATGCTGGAATCCCCCTCTGCCTTCTCCCATCGCCCAAAAGTTGCTTTGAATTGATGGGCAAATAAAATGAAGTAGTAACATTTAAAATTATGTGATGTTTTTATTAACCTGAAATGATAGCTGGTAAAATGGGCCATTATTCTGCAAAACCTAATTATGTTAACACTAAAGATTTAGGTTGGCTGGCTGAAGCAAACTGCAGAGGATTGGAAGTAAAAATAATCCCCATTTTCTTAACGTGGTCCCCATTTTCTCAGATGCAACACTTTTTAACTATTATTTAATTGGTGAACTACGAATTCTACAAGGAAAAATTACTGACTAGAAAGAGAAAAAAATAATTACTACCTCTCCAACATCTGTCTGAATACATTCTGAAATTTCTGCATGGCAAGAATGTGTCAAGTTACCTTAAAGACATAATGTACCACCCTTGTATCCTCCAGCCGGCCTGATAGTACCACATTACAGCTTGGCTTTTACAAGGGGCAGTCATTCTAATCTAATAAAAGAAAGAAAATGGCAGAAAATCACACACCTGAAGTCCTGTTAAGAATAGGTGATTCTTTTTGCCCCAGGCAGGCAAGAACATAATGTCATTTTTGTTCGTTTGTATTTGCTCTCAGAAGGAGGGCTGCTCCTGTTGGGGAACGGTTTTCCCTCTGCCACTGAGAAACACTGCAAGCAAACATCCTCCAAGGAAATAACATTTTGCTATTTACCAGTCTTGACTACCCCATGAAGCCCTGAGTAATTGTTTTGGCTTTCATGGTGTGATAAACACCTAGAGGCAAAGAGATTAGTGTCATCGCTCTCAGTCTCTTTTTCTCTCTCTTTGGGAAAAAAAAGTGGGGGGGGGATTGCTGCAAATATAGTATGACAACATTTGCAAGAATCTTTCAGTCCATTGACATGTAATTATGAAGACCCTAGCTAAATATTCAGTTTATTAAATTAATAGCATGACAAGTATTGGAGCAGTTTTACAACCACTTAAACCCATGCTTACATCCTGTGTAATTACAATTCATAATTGGGAAAGCAGTCAAATCTAAATGCATTCTGATCAATGGTTCTTAGTCTGCCAAGTAGACCCAGCACAACACATTACAGTAAATGACTCTTAAAAACAGGACTTCTACACCTAGAATTCAAACCAAATTTGGGTAGGGCAATGGAGGGTATCAATCAGTGAAATGTTTTCAATTATGCATTAGATTGTGTGCAGATATGCTCATTTTTTTCTGGGCATGAAAAAATAGTTTTTTTAAATATATAAAAAAATCTAAAAGTATAAGAATAACTGCTCTGAAGCCTAAGATTAAGATTTACCCCAACTGTGGGAGGTCTCATCAAATAATAAGTTGTTGTCAATAAATGAATAATGACCCATAGATTTATGAAACTATGATTTCCAGCAATCAACCCTTTATTAATTTCATTTTGATCTTATCTATACCTGAGCTGCTAAGAACATCTATTTTACCTCTTGTAGATATATGTATGTATGTATATGTATATGTGTATATGTATGTATATTTATAAATATGAATCTTAATATGCTCATGGTTCTAGAACTAAAGTATAAAGTAAAAATGAAAATGTCTCAACTCAGAACTACAGCATGAATGCCAAATAATCAAAATATCTTGGCAACTTTGGTGTATATGTCATCAGATCATGTAGGACCAATGGAGACTCACATTTCCTGGGCCTTGAACCTTCCTTTAGATTTTGAAGAATATTGGTTCCCTTAAAGCATTCCAAGTATAGTTTTTGGAAGAATCTCTGTTTCTGAAAATTTTAAACATTTGCATTAATATTTTGATAACGAAATCCTCATGCTACATAACTGGTTCCGATCCAATGATAGTGAGATTATATCAGTTAGACATCATCTTAATTCAATCCAAACATGTACAGACTTTCTTGTAAATTCTTACTTCAATGCATACTACATGTTAATATTCACAATCATATACTTGTATTAGTTATAGTGAGGGCTACCTCTAATTAAAGGCAAATGGTAATTGAATGATTTGAGACTTGCCTCTTAGTAGATAGTACCCATAGATTTAAATCCCTCTCCAAGAGTAGGGTTCTATCACTGAAAATGTGATCATATTCTGAAGAATTCTAAAATAATGTTGGTTCTATTTCTGGTCTTGGGGTTACAAGAAGCACAATCCACTCTGATTTCTCTATTGCAGAGATTTTGGTAGAAAGATGTTCAAGCATATCTTTCCACACTAGTCATAAAATTTACAGAAAAAAATATGTGAGACACTGGAACATGCTTGAATTGGGCAACACAAAATCATTTCTTTTTGGCTAATTCAGTTCATTTTTATGGTTATTTTAGCTTACATGCCTGATATCATGAGCAAAGCTCTTTCCAGCTGTCTTTGTGGTTCCCTAAGTGGTGGGCACTGCTCCAAGTCACTTACTTTCTACTCCATCCTCTAGACTTGTACTAACCACAAGCCACTAGCCACCCCTATGGCTAGTGAACACTTAAATGCAGTTAGTCCATTCACTGACATGGCCTGTGAATGTAAGAAACACATCAATTTCAAAAATTTTTAAGACTGTGAATGATCTTTTTAATAATTTTCATATTGATTACATGTTGGAATGATAATATTTTGGATATAATGGATTAAATAAAATATATTATTAGAACTGATTTTAGCTGTTTCTATTTCCTTTTCTAATGTGGCTGCTATTACATATGTGGCTCACATTATATTTCTATTGGACAATACTGCTCTGAATATCCAATTTTCCAGTCTTTAAAATGGGACTAACAGTATTCATTTTCCAGAATTAACGTGAAACTCAAAAGGAGCTAATGAACCTGAAATTATTTGGTCAATTGTGTAAAGGAACACCTGTGGAGGAATACCTGTGAGGAGGCACACAAAGAACAGTCACAGACATAAAAGTTCAAGCAGGCAGACAGGATGGAGCAGAGAGAGTGAAGTGAAGAAGGAGAACTGTTCATTTCTCTCTCCTACCAAGTTTATTCACTCAAAAAAGGTTACATATTACCCATCACACCTGACTACACTCTAATCAGTATTCCTTTAACCCTGAGTGATAGCTAACTGAGATAAGGTCCAGGTTAATACAAACACAAAGCCTCTCACACCCAAGAACGTTACTATGGATATCAGGTAGTGCACCTGCATAGTTATCTTAATAACCTCACAGGAAACTGCTGGGCATTCCAATCATGGGAAACAGGGTGCTAGTTACCCCCAAGGAGTTTGCTCAGGGGGGACCACTTCCCTATTTGCATGGTCAGAATATCTACACAATTGTAAAATGTAGGAAGAGTATGAAGCACATGATGGTGATGATCATGATGATATTTTCATGTTTTTATTCCACACTTCCATAACTTTCTGTAAGTTTTCAGCCTGAGATCTTGCTATCACTTCTTTTGAAAGTGCTCCAACACAAAGAAGGCAATGCTTTTAAGGTTTTGAATGTGACACGTGATCTGGACACAGCACTCACATCAGTGACATGATCAACGAAAAAAAACTAATGCCAATAAAAAACAATAGTAATACCAATGACACTGCTAACCTTCTGAGAGTCTTGATCTGAGTACTGTTAAGTATTATTACCATCTTTATTTTAAATAATATATTGTGCTTCTGTTAACATAACCTATGAATGCATTGTTGACTTATAATTCAATGTGTGAAAACTTAGCTGTTTCTGATTGGTTCATATATATACAAGTGGAAGATAGTGAGGTTATGGCTCAGCAGCAGCAACTGAGTGAAAAAAGTCAGAAATCTGGCTCAACAAAGTGTGCATAAGTTGCTAATAAAGATACACCATTTAGAATGTGAAAGGTGCTTTGATGTCTATAATTGCAGTCAAGTGTCGAATCTCACATCAACTTAAATTTTGACTTCTCCAAGAATACTTTTCATGAGAACATTTTCATATCTCATCACCCCATTTGACAATCTTTAATGATAAACTGCTCACTCCACACCTCAGACTCAAATCCTATCTTCATGCTGGTCCCAGTACAT